ACCGGTATCGGATAAAACCTAAACGATACCCATCCCTATTCACAGCTGAAACAAACAGCCTGATACGCAAACTGATTGGTCTAAATCAGACCCATCCACAGCCAATGAACAGCGCCGTTCATGATTTCAAAGGAAAATGAATTTAGTCTTGGACTCACACACACACACACACATGGGGCTCTTACATTTTCACGTAGGGGTCGGAGAATCCGTTAACATCCATGGCTGCCAAGTGGGCGCAGCGCTTCACGCCCACACAGAGACCCCCGTTGCGAGGGCCTTCACCTCCACCTTCTACGGCTTTATCCTCCAGACTGACCGGAGGCAGGAACTGAAGGGAGAGGAGAAGACGACCTCGCTCCTCCAGGCTGTGCAGCTGCTCGTTCTCCCACTGCGGACAAGATTACACCGTTATCAGGGAAGTCGTGTCAGGTGCGTCACGTGACAGCTCAGGTTAGCCTGGGATGGTTTTCATGTGTGCAGAGGACGATGAAGAAGGAACTAACTCATCATAAAGCTGTTTTCTCACAGCACAGGAAGTCTTTCTGCAATCACAGCCACCTGGTGGCCTTCAGGTAGAAGCAGGGTTTAAGGCATTTACGCTTCATTTTAACGTCCATGTTTTAAACCCTTTACCCCAGCAAGCAGTAACGGTCAGGGAACCTTTCGGGAATGTTCCCTGAAGATCCTTTGGGTTTTTTCATCGGGTTAAACAAATGAAAGTTTTAGGGTTGTAAATGTAATAAATACAAAAGCAACGAATGTGCAACTGGACATGTAGATTTGAACTCTGCACCGGGTGTTCATCACACCATTGCCAGCTGCCATTAAACCCCAGAGAAGAAGAGTCTGCCAGCCTTGTTTTCACCAGGATTATGTGGAGGAGGCGTTTTTCCACACTGAGCTGATTCTGCAGTGTAAACGTAAAGCAGGCGAAACTGTTTTTTAATAATGATCTCTCACTGTGATGATGTCACCCTCTGACCTGGTTATGTCTTCATAATATAACAAATTATATTTATAATTATATTAATTATTATATTATTATAGTTATTAACTGCAGACCTGTAAGCAAAGAGCTGAAGCTCTTCATCATCCGTGTCGGAACAGCTGGGAACATTTCCCTTTATTTTCCTGTCAGTGGGGAAAATATGGAATTGCGAGCTGTTATCAGGGCTCGCTTTAAATCTTTATGCTTTCTACATGCTGACAGCACACAACAATCACAGTTTCTACGTTTTAAGGCCTTTTTATCATTTTTCCACCAATAAATCAGGACGTTGACCTCGGTGGATGGAAGGAATTTTAATGATTGTTAACATGAGCTCGCTCAACACGCCACAGAGTTTTATCAGAATTCATTAAAATGTTTTCGAGCTATCGCCCTTTCAGACAGACACACACACACACACACACACACACACACACAGACGCATATCATCTCATTGCAGAGGTATATGAGCTACAGCGTGTGGAGTCACATTAAGCTGGTGGTCTTTCCTGCACAGTCTCCGTGCCTGAGGAGAAAAACACTGACCCTTCATAAACATATGTACAGTGGGGCAAAAAAGTATTTAGTCAGCCACCGATTGTGCAAGTTCCCCCACCTAAAATGATGACAGAGGTCAGTAATTTGCACCAGAGGTAC